TCTCCCAGGTAGAGCTGCACCATGCCACTTCTTCCCTTTCTGCTTTCAGCAGGCCCCCTTTTCCCAGACCTGGTCGCTGGTGTCCCCTCCTTCGGGGCCTCAAGAAAGAGGCAACATGGCCTACTTCGCTAGGGCCTCCTCCCAGTGAAGACTTCTGCCGCACAGGCAGGAGCGCACCTTGGCTCCACGTCTTCACCTCTTTTAGCACCCAGAGGCTTTGAAATTTTCTTCCTACATGTGGTCACTGGGTGCCCCCTTTCATTTTCTGAACTTTGTAAGCAGTGGCTGTGACGCCGACTCCAAAACAAAATTGCCTGCATAGGCGAACTCCAAACTAGGGCGGGTGGCCTGGCAAGGGACTGTCCTGTCGCTTGCAGGGTGCGAGTCCATTCTGACGTGGGTGCAGAAGTCTGGGCCTGTGAGGGATACTGTGCAGGTGTGAGAAGGGCAAAATCATGGCAGTCCAAAGCCACACTGACGTGTGCAATGTCCTGCAGACTTGGATCTCCTCCGTGGTGCCAGCTTCCAAGGACATTTGTAAAATGGAGTCATCCAGAATGGGAAGCCGGCAGCTGAGAGCTGACGTAGTTCAAGTATTTCCTCTGCCAGGGCCTCGATCTCCTCACTGAACAAGGTGATGGAGTTGGGGTGGGGGTGCCGTGCTTCTAGATTTCTGACACCAGGCACATCTCTACTGCTAGCGCTGCCCTGTGTGCTGTGAGGGGGCGCCGAAACCCTGACTGCGGACGAGGAGATGGCGTCTCTGAGAGGAAAAGTGACTTGTCCGAGGTCACGGGGCTCAGGAGGCAGGGAGAGGTGTGGATCTCAGGCACATTCCAGAGGCCCTTCCCTCTAACACCTGTGTGGAGTTTGGGGCACACAGGCACCTCCTGTTTGCACACTGCTTTACCCATGTCCTACCTGCTTAGGCTACCAGCCCACTAGGCCCAGAGAGACCACGAGGCTGAGACCGTGGGCCCCTTAGAGTATGTCCAGAGTCTAGTCCCAACCTGAGCTGTGAGAGATGGAACTCGGGGGTGGAGAGAGACAGGCCCTGCCCAGGTCCCTTGTCCCTGGGGTGGCCTAGCCGGGTCAGAGACTTCAGGCAGGTCACCTCCCTTCTCCCAGTGTTTGCCAAGTGTGCACCTGGGAACAGTCACCCCGCTGGGGGTTGGCGAGGGTGGAATGGGAGAGTGCACAAAAGGCCCCGGCCTGGGCCCAGCCTCCATGATGACGAAGATGAGGAGGAGGAGCAGGATGGAGGCTCAGGAAATCGGGAAACTGACACGGCAGGAGCCCATGAGGTTGGTGGCAGGCCTTGAAGGCCTGGGCTGAACCTCAGGCGCAGGGAAGCCCTGAGGGGTGGTGATCCAGACCAAGCAATGAGGGAGGCCTGGGTGGTATGGACTGCTTGGGTGGGTGAGAGTGTGGAGTCAGCAGAGGGGCGAGCAGTGGGTTTGTCGCCCCCGCGACACTGTGAGCCCTCGGAGGCAAGGTGGCAGCCCGCGCTGGGCAGACCACCCACGTGCCTCAGAGGGTCCTGTGTCCAGACCCACCCGCCACTTCCTGGCCCTGTGACCGAGGCACGTTGTTCCCTCCCAGAGCCTCAGGGTCCTCATCCAGGGACGGGCCTGCCATCCCTCCTCTCAGGGCTGGCAAGTGAGTGAACTCCAGGCCCACACAAGAGATGGTGTGGGATTATTCAGAACACCCTTGTGACTCCAGGAATGCTCCTCCGTGAGCAAGTGTAGGAGGAGTCAGAGCACACGACTGCCAGGATGCAGGCACACCTCATCCAGGGGCCCTGGAGCAGAGCAGGGCGTCAGAAACCACTGCTGTGCTGTGCGCTGGGCCTTTGTGGCAGGGGAGTGTATGTGGAAAGCCCGTGCTGGGGCAGGAGGTAGGCTGCCTCCACCTCCCTTCCAGGTGGCCCGCCTGACCCTCCTGGGGACGCATAGTCTGTCTGCACTCCCCAGGGCCCTCCCTCCTCCTGCTTTGGAGACCACTTCTCTTGATAGCTCCCTCCCTGCCCACCCTCCCCTCAGCACTGTCCCCTGCAGAGTGTGGGGGGAGTAGGCTCCTGGGGAGGCCCACCAGGGGATAAGGTGTTGGAAGGAGGCTGGAAGGGGGAGGTGGTTCCCTTCCAGGCACCCTGTCCAAGAAGGCTGCTGTTCCTCCCTCCCTGATGAGCTCCATATCTCAAATGCCCTCTGCCCAGGGTGCTCAAACTCAGGACTGTGGCTTTGGGCGGGCACCCCCACCTTCCTCTGTGCCAAGGCAGGTGCCTGCTGCATGCACAGCGGGGTCCTGGGAGGTTCCAGCCTGGTCACGGGATGACTCATCATGCCAGGGCTGGGTCCCAGGCATCTCTTGTGCTCCTCCCACTTCCCTGACCAAGCAACAGAAACTTGAAGGGGAGGGGACGCAACCTCTAGGGAATCACAAGGTGTCAGTGTGGCCAAACATAGACCCAGGTCCACGGAGGGAGAAATGCCAGCACACCAGCAGCCTGTCCTCAGGGGAGGGAGCGGGAGGGCATGTGGCACACCCTGCGCTCAGAAGGGCCCCATACATGGTGCAATGCTCTGCCCTCCCTTGCAATTTCTCGCAACCCTCAGTAGTTTTTGAGCAAGGGGACCCGCGTTTTCATTTTCCTCTGGGCCTCGTAAATCATTCCACACGGTCAGTCAGAATCCGGGTCTGGCTGAGAGAGAGGACCGGTTCCTGGGGCGGGGGCAGGGGCCCTTACACAACTCCCCCTCCTGCCCTCACAAGCTGTGGACACCACTGGGAGGCCGGAGCAAGGCCTGGACACTGTCCCTGCCCGCCAGTGCGTCCTGCCCAGGGCTCACAGACTCCGCCCCGCCATCCACCTGGCGGATTGGCAGCCTAGATGCAGCCCCGAAGACGCCGGGACCTAGGCCTGGCCTTGGCCTAACTGGGCACGCCCTGCTTGCAGAGGAGAAAGGCTCCAAAGTGCCCAAACTGGCCTAGTGCCAGTACAGAGGCCGGCGGTGGAGGTCTGCACCCAGCTTTGTTTTCCTCCCATCTGTTTTCAACAATACTGACTCGTCCTTCTAGCTGCTGGGACTGAGGTGTCACTGGGAGGCCCACCTCAGTGTCCTGAGGACCCCGCCCCAGGGATGAGGTCCTGACATCGGGCTGCCGAGGAGGAGAGCGTGTTGTGGGAGGGCGTCTCCAAAGATGGGCAGGGTTTGGGTGCTGAGGCTGCTGTGGGCACTGTCCCCTGTTGGGAAGAACAGTGGGACCACCCCAAGATCCTCGCCCCATTCCTTCTCCCGCTACCATACCCTGCTCCCCCCCACCCTACGCCAGCAGGCATCTAACCCGGGCTGCACCCCGCAGGGAATCACCTAACTGTGGACCCGAGGCTCTCGCAGTCACGGTCTCCACACCGGGCGGCACCTCCACTGCCCACACCCGCTCCAGAGCGCTCGGGGCAATTCCTGCACAGCTAAAGGACCAAACGTTCCCAGGTACTTTTGCAACTTTAATGTCACACAGATACCAAAAACATGAAAGCACGACAAAAGCACACAAGGAAAGCAGGAAGGGCAAGAAGGCTTCATCCGGCATGCCGTCTCCACTGGACAGGTAGAAGCCGCCCAGAGCGCTCTGTTCAGAGACCCCGGGAGGCACTCGGCTTGCCCCAGCTCCTCAGCGGTGCCTGCAAACACAAGGCACGGTCCAGGAGACAAAAACAAACACGCGGGGCACCAGGAGGGACGTGAAGAGCACCACGAGCGTCTCGGCATACTCCCGTGGCTCCGTGGTGCCCCGCCTCCCCCAGCGCCTCCCCCTGGCTTCTCGGAGCCCCTGCACACCCCTCCCGTGGAGTCTCAGCGATGGACCGAAAATCTTACTGGATCCAGGAGAAGAAGTTGGCCCCGGTTCGGGAGGCATTTCTGGTCCGGATGGTGGAGCTGGTGCTAGGGCCATCCAGGATGCTGGTGCTGGCCCCACCGTTGGTGCCACTGCTGACGCCAGCCCGCCAAGTGGCCCTCCTGTTGGCACGGTTGCTATTCAGAATGTACTGATGGTATCTGGCCCAGAAAGCAAAGGGGATCCTGGCCCAGGCATCGCCAAAATCTCCGTCCTCGTCCCAGGTCAGGAGCTCCACCTGTATGTCATCCCAGCTCCACCGTCCAATCAGAGCTTCCTCCCCGATATTCATCTGGGCCCTCATCTGGGCCCTGGCGTGTTCCTCGGCCATGTCCACATCCATCGTCTTGAAAGCATCATCCACCGCCTCCAAGAAATGAGCCTTCCATTCCCGGGGGTCTCGGTTCTGATTCTGCAGTGGGATAACAGCGGCCACCCTCACAGCACTACCCTGCGTCCACCAAGCAACCCACTTCCCGACATACGCCCTCCCGGGCACCTGGCCAATCGTGGTAAAAATAAACACACCAGCTTTGGCCTCCACTTATTCTGTGTCACAGCTGGGACGTCGCCCCGTCCCTTGCACTTCCCGTCTGTGAACTTGGCTAAGTTACTTAGGAGCCTTTCTGAGCCTTCCTGGGAAAACAGCGCGGCCGGCAAGGAGGCTGTGGCCAAGAGCAGAGGCTCCCCATTACCTGGGCAATGAATCTCAGGACCCTCATCTTGCTGGTCTCGTGGCGGGCGCGCAGGCCCCAGAGGAATTCATACTCAGGGGGGCTGCTGTTGGGGATCTTTTTGTACTCCAGGTACCTGGGTGCGAGAGCAAACCCGCTTTCGAGTCCAGCAGGCAGAACTGTGGTTACACTAATGGCTCCCAGAGGGCCCCTCCCAGGCCGGAAGCGGAAGCTCAGCTCCTGGAGGACAGTGGCCTAGCTGCCCAGCCCATGACCCACTCCAGGGCTTTCTGCCTTCAAGTGGTGGCCTTCAAAGCCCTGGGCCACGGGTCCTGCCCAGAAGCCATGTGGAGGAGTGTGTGTATGTGTGTGTGTGTGTGTGTGTGTGTGTGTGTGTGTGTGTGTTTGTGTTGGGGGGGGGTCATGAGTAGGGTGTTTGTTCCTTAGAGGGCCACAAGTTTTCTGCCTCTTATCAGTGAACCTAGATTCCTGTTGTGTCTGCAGTGGACAGAGGAGTCACTTCTTCAGGCCCCTGCTCTGAGCGCTCCTCAGCTCAGGGCCTGGGAGACCCTCAGGCAGTCCACCTTCACAACAACTGTCTAGGGAAGGGACAGTCACCCGGGCGCACTTCCGTGCAGACTCCCGACTCAAAGTGAGTGTGTGAGAGAGAGAGAGAGAGAGAGAGAGAGAGAGAGAGAGAGAGTGTGTGTGTGTGTGTGTGTGTGTGTGTGTGAACTCGCAGGACAGCACCCCGGAGTGAGCACACACTTGCTCTGCAAGCAGCAGAAGCGGTGGGCCCAGGCCAGACACAGGAGGGCTGGGCTTCGGAGCCAAACAGGCCCTTTACCACCCAGGCCAGACTCAGACCTCCACTCTGCGCCCAGGTTCCGGAGAGGAGCACAGCGCCCAGGGAAGGTGAGCAATGAGATGGCTGTTGTGACACTGTCACACTAAACATGTTCTCAGTAAACGTGTGCACCCTTCCCCAAGACCACTCTGGAAGCCTCTCCCCAGTACTCACACAGCCCCACTGACAAGCACGGCAGACCCCACACGGAGATCCCTCTGCGATTACGCTGAGGGCAGGGGGTGGCTTTCTCAGCCAGAGCAGCGCACCAGGGAAGCACGCAGGTGGGACACAGTTGAATCGGTCAGTACTCACTTCTGCTTCACAAAGTCCTCTGTAATGAGCTTCCTCAGGTCGCCAAGGAATGGGTGCCTTACCCTGACAGCAAGGAAAGGAAGCCATGATTAGAGGCTGTGGTGGTGGCCGGAGGTGGGCGGGAGCCCTCCCCAAAGGACTGGGAGCTCCCCAGCCACGGGGCAGACCCTTGCAGGCCTGGGTATGCACCAGAGGCCAGACAGCCACGCGTCAGCAATGCCCTGATGGGGTTGGAAGGAGCCCCTAACTCTGACTGTTTCCCTTAGATCTCATCTGGGGACAAGAGGGGACACGGCGCAGAGAGGAGGCTGGGAGTTCAGTACCACTCCCCACTCAGCATGGTGAGAACTTCTGCCCCCTCCCCGCACCAGACCACCCAGGCCATGCAATCCCAGGTAGTGTCCTGCCCCAGGCTAACACTCAGGGGCGGGGGCCCAGAGACCCCGATCGTACCCAGGGCGCAATCCCATCTTGCGGAGCGCCTCCCAGAGGACGGCTGTGAGGGGGAATGAGGTACAAGGATTTTAGCGCAGGAAGGCGGCACTGTGGGCACCCTCGCCCCAACCCCCACCAGCCACAGGTACGACCACCACTCACCCTCGCTGGCGCGGTTGCCATTCATGAAGATGACCCCCAGAATCACCAAGAGGAGACTCAGCCTGGGGGTGTCCTTGGTCCTGCAGGTGTAGAAAGTGGATCCTGTGCCGCAGCCGTCCCCCCAGGGGCTTCAGCTAGCCTCTCCCGGAGTGCGGGGCTGCCAGGCCCTTCTACCCCTCTGCACGTGGCTGCTACCTGATCCAAACAATTCATTCCTCCTCCCAAAGGCTGTGACTTCATCCCTGGGATGGGCACCCCGACGCCCCCTCCCAGGTCTCCACAGAGGACGGGGGTTAGGAAGGCAGGGAATGCTTGGCAAGTGTGTCCAGAGGCAACCCAGCCTTCCCTGCCCGGGGGCATCAGGGAGGCAGTCCCCACATGCCCACCAGGCCTGCTCTGCCCAGCTGGGGCCAGGCACTGAGCCGGGAGAGGCAAACAAGAAGCAGCCTGCTCCCCATGGAAGCCTGGGGGGGGGCAGGGGGAGGGTGAAAGGCTGGCGGCAGCAAGGGCCTGGGTCCCTCTGTGCCCGCACCACTGGGCACCACTATCTGTGGGTGGGCGGAAGCTGTGCTCGGCCCGCGAGCCGTATTTTGCCCGTTTCTCTGAGGGCCTGTGGGAGACCGGGCAGGGAAGGGGCACCACCGAAGGAGGTCACAGCCCTCCTGCCCCCTTCCTCACTTTCCCAGGAGGCGTGCTGAGGAATCCCGCGTGCAGACGAGAATGTATAGGTGTTCTTCCTTGTCAATTTCCTTCAGGTGGATCCCGAACTTCTACATGGGGAGGAAAACAGGAAGGCAGATCAGAAACCCATGCAGGGCGTCCCGCAGGCTGTCATTCAATGCCTCTCAGGGCTCTTTCTCACAGGGAGCCCAAAGCCCCAGGGGAGGGTGCGCAGGCCCCGGCCTGTGGCAGCTCTGGCACTGGCCAGGACCACGGGGTCCCCTCAGAGACGTCCGACGCTCAGAGGGCACGAGAGAGAGAGAGGGGAGACCAGGGACGGCTGCCTGCGCCAGCAGCGCACAGTCCACAGGCCCGAGAGGCTTCCAGAGCAGGTGGGAGTGACATCGGGACTGGGCGGGTGCACATTTCAAGGCTTCCCCACAGCCCTTGTTCCAGAGCTGCCCCTACCCCGTGCCCACCTTTTCCAGAGTGTACGTTGCCCGCTCAATGATCTCAGGGAAATGCTCATCATATTCTCGGATGACGTCCTTCAGCATGTCTGCAGGAGGGGGCAGAGGGAAAGCACCTGGCTTGAGCAGAGGCCACGGCCCTGGCCAACCCTGCTGAGGGGAGCACAGTCAGCTCTGGGCACACAGAGCCGTGGGCCACGGCCTGGCAGGGGGGCTTCTGATGGGGGGGGCTGCAGACACAGCAGGGTTGGGGGAGGGGATGCGGGGTGCCCACCTGAGCGTTTGATGGGAATTTTCTTGTAGTCCTTAATCATCAGATATTTCACCAACTTATTTGCCTGGTGTGGGAGGAGGGAGCACACTGGGAGATCAACAAGGCTTGGGTGACCTCAAACCAAGCCCTGCCAGGGGCGAGTGGAGGGAGATGGGGGAGGGCAGGCTTCTTACCCTCTCTTGCAGAAGGGTCACATTGCGGGGTGGCAGGCACAGTACGTGCCTCGAGGGCACCTGGGACCTCAGGGCCATTGGGGGCCGAGGGGCCACCTGAGCCCGCCCCGTCAGGGGGGGCTGCGAGGCTCTCCAGGTCGGCGGGACCACAGGAGGTTCTCTCTCCTCCTCGCTGCTCTCATATTCGTCATCCAGGTGCTTGGACTGTAGCGTGAGACACAGGACAGACCCAGGGCTGCCGGGCTCCCCACGCAAAAGCATCTGGCACATGTCTCAGCCAGAGCTGGTGCTGGGAAACAGGAGCGGTAGGGACAGCCCAGGACGTGTGCCGAGCGCCGAGCTCCACTAAGGCACAGGGCCACTATTCTCCCACTGGGCCCGAGGGCAGGGACTACGTGGAGCGAGAACATGCTGGAAACTCGTGGTGGAGAAACATGGACAAGAGTAGAGGAAAAGAACAGGTGGTGGGGCAGGGGGGTGGGGAAGAGCGGAGGGAGGAGAGGAAGGAGGGAGCAAGAGGGTGTGGAGAGGGAGGAAGGTCTTACCTTCTTCGTCCTCTTGCCTCCCATCCTGGCCCAGGGTTCAGCACTGTGCTTAGCAGTGGCCGCTGCGCCCTCGGGCTCAGGGGCACTGGTGGCCATCTTGGCCTTGGCAGCAGCTGCTGCCACAACATTCTGAGGCTCCACCCACCGAGTCTTGGCGAGAGCCTTCCCAGACTTGGTGGTCTTGGGCCGGGTGGCTGCCCCCTCCCTGGTAGACGCCGCCTGGGGCATAGCAGAGGTAGCACTGGGGCCCTCTGTGGCAGCCTCCTGGGCAGGGGCGGGTCTCTTGGGGCGTGGGAAGGCCATGCCGCTGACACCTGCGGGCTGTGTGAAGTCAAAGACATCGTTCTGACCCAGGAAGGTTGTCGTGGGCCGGGTGGCATCCCTCTCGCTGGCACATGGAGCCTGAGAGAAAGCACAGGTGGTACTGGGCCCCTCGGTAGAAGCCTCCTGGGTCTGGGGCTGAGTGGACGTCGCTGGAGCCCCAGGGACGGCCACCTCACTGTCGACGAGCAGCTGGGAGATGTGCAGAGAAGGCAGGGTCGTCTCGGAGGTGGCACCCTGAGCCTCGGCAGTGGCAGCGGCATAGGTCATGGGCTGGGCATGTTCTCCTGAGGCCTGGTCTGGGGCCGCCAGGGGCTCAGTGACCACCTGATTGTAGGCGGCCCGGGCAGCAGCAGCGGCGGCCCGGGCGGCGTGGTTGGAGGCAGCAGAGCGGGCCACGTTAGCAGCATGGGCGGCCGCCTCATTGGCAAGCGTCTCCGGATCCAGCTGCAAGGCCTCCATCAGAGTCTGGGCCAGCACAGGGTTTTCCAGTTCCCAGGGCTCATTCTGCAAGGCCGGAGAGAAGGGGAGGGCAAGGCAGAAAACTCTACACACTCCGTCATGCTCTCCCGAGCGGCCAGCCTCCTCCCAGCAGCCAGCCCTCAACACCACCCCCTTTTTTCTGAGCAGGACAGGCAAGGTTTGGGGAAGACAGGTGGCCTTTTCCTACCCCACCCTGCCCTCACACCGTCCCCTCTGCTCCCCCCACCTCCCCCCTTCTCTCACAGGGGAGAAGCCCCAGGGACAGCAGGTGGCCAAGAAGGGGGCCTCACCGCTAAGATGCGAAGGCCTGGACCCAAGCTACCAAAGGCTCTGAGGAGGCGCATGTCAAAGCTGGTGAGGCTGCCATAGCCTCCAAAAGCACCAAATTCTTCATAGTCGTTGCCTTCCACCATCTCTTCCTCCCCCACTTCATCGCTACCCTCATCCATGTCTTCAGCATTGTAGCTTTCAGATTCCATGCTGTAGCTGCCCTCTGCCATGCTGTGGGTTCCAAGGAGCAGAGACTCAACCTGGCAGGGAGGGTGAGGCCTCCTCAGGGGGAGGGGGAAGGGGAGGGGGCGGGATCGGTGGGAGGCTGGATCTCTCAGGAGGTGAGGGGCAGCAATCATCAGGTTACCAGGCAGTGCAAGGTGGGGAGGGAAGGTGGTGCTGGTGGGGAGGCATGTTGGCTAGATGCTGGCAAACACAGAGTCCTAGGCAAGGGACACAGGGGATGGGAGGACGCCACCCACCCCACCCCGTCCCCCCTCCTCCCTCAAGTCAAAGTGCAGTTCAGGAAGGACTGGTCCATCACAGCAGCTAGATGTGATCACGGGTGGACTGGCCAATTGGGTCTCAGGAGT